GGGGAGTGAGGGGCAGACAGGCGCGCATGCGCACACAGACAGGCACCCACGGCTGTGTCACATGACTCGTGCCAGCCTCGGGGTCCCATTCCCTCCAGCCCCCCATTTGCCCTCCCCCTGCCCCTTCCCCTCCACAGAATTACCTGCTTGGTGCTCTCGACACACGGCAGAAAGAAAGATCCAATCTTGGGATTTTTTCGTCGGGAAATCACGAGTTAGAGTTCATTTCACTTGGAAACCAGGAGTCTCTTGATTTTTTTCATGAGAGTCAGTATTCCTGCTAGAAGGTGCAAATCTCCCCTGCCTTCTGCCTCGTTTACCAAAGCCAGTGTCCAAACACTTAAGCCTCCCCGGACGCCTCATTGCTGACCTCGAGGTGACTGTTCTCAGATAGCAATATCTTAAAAACCCATTTGAATGGAAAACTGCAGAACAAGAAATCATCGCCGAGCTGGACCATGTTTTAAGTATGGTTTAAACGGGGACGGCGGATTCTTATCCAATGACCTGGATTAGCTGTTGTGACCCCTTGGTTCCCATGGGGGTCTTTTCTTGTTTGCTGCTCCCAGCACCATCCCCCTGCCTCCTCTTTTCCCACCTTTTGTATTCAACTCGCTCCACTTTACACGTTGCTCTATACTGTCCTTTTACAGCATTTGACAAAGTGAGCTCCCATTCACCAAAGCTTGTGTTCTCTATATTTAGTCTACAAGTTATCTATTGACCTGGCTTTCTGCATTCAGTGACTCCATCAGATAACCGTTGTGCTAGTTCTGTCAGAAGACTATGGTAGTTGAAGGGCACCTCTTCTTCACAGGATTTGTCTTTGTATGTGTTCATAGTTATTATGAAGTTCACCGAAGGCTTGTATCATTCAGGTCCAGCCATAACATGATGAATGTATTTATTTATTTGATTTATATGCCACCCTATCCAGTAGGCTCAGAGCAGCTTGCAGTAACTGTACTAATACATCCGAAAGGGTCACCTTTTTATATTTGGAGATACTGGGAGGGACGAGGATTTCTTAGGGTGATATCTTTTATTGGACCAGCTGCATAGTTGGGATTGAATTAGACAAGCTTTTGAATGCAAGGTGTTCTTCCTCAGGTCCCTGGGAGTGATTATGATTCCTCTTCTTCTGTAAGAGCCAGCAGGAGCTGTGTGTGGTAGTGAATAGCAAAGGACACGGGTTCTTAGGTAGGTGGTAGTGTGATCTAATCATAGTCATAGTAAAATGAAGAAGAAAAGAAGGCTGGAAGGGATCTCTCCATTTTCTGCTCAAAGCATGATCATTTCTTATCCAACTGCCTGGGTAAATAGTTGATAGACTTGCATACATGGGAACTACAGTGTAGAAAGCATCTTTCTGAGTGGGTAATCCAGGCTTGATGTCCGGCTCGCTGGTAATGTTTGTGGACTTCTCCAAGAAAGCAGAGAGTTGCTAGAGCAGAAGGTTGGAGAGGCTGGGGTGGGGGGAAGGGGGTGGGGAGAAAGGGCTGTGTGTGCTGATGTTCAAGCACAGGGCAGAGTCCTAACTGTAGTGTGTCATTGGAATCCTCTTCCACTCACCGTAACAAGTCATTGCCCATTAGTCTTGCTGCTCTGCTACAGCCATATCTCATTGTAGTAATAACCAGGCCTGATGCTCTTTTCTTTTTAGGTTAGAGGCAGTGGAGACAGAAGACAACATTTCTCCAACTGAGGCCCCTTGATCTTCAAAGATGGCGAATGGTATCACCGACACAGGGGAGCTCTACTCTCCTTATGTGAGTATTAATATTGATATCATCATGAAATCATCTAAAACACCTGGAGTCTGAGACAGCTTAGGGATCTTAGTGTCTTCGAACATTGTATGTTATTTGCCTTGGTCCTTTTTCAACTTGCATTTAAAAAACATGATGCTGAAAGTGGCATCACCTTACTGTAACTCTGGCTCAGTTGTCTTTTGAGAGGCATCCATTTGCTTCACTGACATAAGCTACTCTAAAATAATGGGCTATAATGTTCTCATTTTTACATCATGGGTAACTTCACAAACCTTAAGGAAACACAGTTGCCTTAACACTTCTTCATTTTGAAAAAGAAGCTTAAGATATAGTACCTGCCTTCAATGGTACGTGCTTACTTTGTGGTTTTACAAACACATTTTCCTTTTTAAAAATGGCTTCTCCCTTGTTGCTGCGTGAGAAGTTATAACTAGGAGGGCAATTGTATTGGACGCAAAATTGACTGTAGAGGCGGAAAATAACTATGTATAAAGCATGTCAGATGTAAGAAGCAAACTAAAAAGGTACATTGGAAAACCTTTATTTTTTCACTCTTCTAGTCATTTTTGTTTCCAGTGTTAGTTGAAATCATGGCATATAAAAATAATTTCACATGAGCTTTTTTGCTGTGCCAGCTATGAAAGGAAGGTAGAGTCTACAGGTATAATTTTAAAGGGAGCATCAGAGTTTTTTGATTTACTACCTTTGATGTACACATGGCAAAGCATAGCTTGGAAATCTAAAATTCCAGTTGTTCAAAGTCTGGGAGTTGCTGTGTCAATTTCAGCATATTAAAAATACATAGCCATTGTGGAGCACCAGCATGCATTGTGAGATCGGATAGCTCATAAACCCAGCGGACTTGCAGCTTTTTCTTTGTGCTGCTAGGAACAATAGTGTTCATGGCTTGTGGAACAGGCCAAGTCTGGATCTCAAAATTATTATAATTACCATGTCACCACTTTTCCCAAAGTGATCTAAAGAAACATTAAAGACCAGCACTAGAAAGGATTGGCTCTCATATCAAGGCATGTCAGCTTTCACATACTATGAAATGTTCATCTTAACTTTAGAGACTCTGTATAATCTTATGGAAGAACTGGGCATTAGGATATCATAAGCGTATTAGCAGCTAAAATCTGGCCAGAATTGAAAAGTGAAGGGCACAGGGGAGCAGGACAGAATCAAAATAACTGGATTTAAAGCTTTAAAGTTAGCTGTTTCATTATGGTTTGTGGATACGTTTGTTTGCGGCTTGTCCTTTTGCTGTAAAGTCGTAAGCCTTTCCACTGGGGGGCAGCTACATTGGCTTAGCTGAGTTAAGTGGAGGAAATATTGGGTGGTGGGGAAGTTAGATAAGTCTTAAATATTCTTTATTTAACAAAAGTTGCTTGTAACATCAGTAGCAGCATGTACACCTAGACCTTGCTAGAATTGGGAATAGTGTTTTTCTCTCATTTTTTTAATGTCTTTATTTGTGGAAGTTATTGTCATTTTCCATAGCCAACCAAATCCACTAATACAACATGCATCCCACACTTTTTTTTTAAAGTATCTATCCAGGAGCAGAAACACCATTGAACCAGCACAAAATCTTTCAGGGCCAGTAAACTCTGTAGGCCAATGGTCCTGAACCAGGTTGAGGTCAGGAAATTAAAATTCAGATAGGGAGAATGTTTTTGCTCTCAGGTGGTATTTTCGGTACTGACTTGGCTAAACTCATTCTTTTGGTTAGTGTAAAGCAAGCCAGTTTGAGGGGGAATGTTGAACTCTGGCTTGTTAGCACTTAGTACCTTTTTTCTTGCTGTGTCTTGAGTTCAGAATATTAGTGTTGCAAAAGTCTTATGTAGTCTGAGCTCTGAGGAACTTGAGCGTCTCTCTGAGGCTGCAGGTATCTGTCTGCCCCTGTGCGTACACAAATGCAGTGCCAGTCTTTGCATCTATTCAACAAAAGCCAAGGAAAATTACCTGGGTTTCTATCCAAAAGACCTTTGGTGCTCAGTGAATGAGCTGGGGCCCTTGGCACTTGGAACAGGAGTCCATGTATGTAGGAAAAACACCTCTGCCCACAGAGTGAAAGAGCCTTTCTGCAGGCTGGGAAGGCTGCGGTCTGGTCCTTTGGGAGACCTCTCAATAGATGAATTTGCCATTCACTTTCCAGAGAGCACAAGTGGAAAGCTGTCAGGATCTACTAACCGATCATTCCCTGCTCTCTGAAAAGAACCCTCTGAGGTGGCAGTTGGTATAACCTTTTATCATCTTATATATGTGATATGTTAGGTTATAATTATTATGATAACATCTCTTAGAAAATCTGTTAATATAGGGGAGGGTCTCCTTAATTTTATGACATCTTTTCATACGACTGCACATAGCTAGAACAACACGATGGACCTGATGATCTATAAGGTCCCTTCCAGCCCCTAACAAGTATGAAACGCGTTTCGAGACAAGGGGACCAGGAAGGTAGTGCCTTACTCAGGTGCCTGTTTCTCTTTGGCAGACCAAGAACATGAGGACACCCCCTTCCCCTCCTCCCCCTCCCCCCTATAATGTCAGCTGTGTACTATGGGATTTGCAAGGAATCCTATCTGAGTGTAGTGTGCTGTTGGACAAAAACAAGGTCATGATCCTAGATAAGATGCTTCATTCTTGTGTCCACCATCTCAAAACATGCTGCTTCATCTATGTGTACTCGTAACCAATCAATTTGAGCATACCAAAATCTGTGCAATCCCTCCTGTAGAGGTGACATAATAAAAGACCATACCCATTACAGTGTAGTGTATTGTTCAGGGAGCAGCATGATTTTTCCAGGAATTAGCTCCTTACAGATCCTGATATCTCTTTCTGCTGTGCTTCCTGGACTGCAGTTTCAGCAGCCTGTGATAGAGGAACTGGTACTAGATTTCAGGGAAGTGTGAGTAATCGTATCATGACACAATCTATGCTCTTCCCCCTCCCAAGGCTACTGAGTGAGCAAATTATGTTCATCAAGCCAAAGGCTTCCAGCCACAAGGATTATGCATCAGTTTGGGTCACACGGTGCTCCTAGACCCCATTGCTTTGGTCAGCAGATCTGGTTTTACTTGCTGATACAAGCTTAAAAGAATGGGGCTTGGAAATGGAAGCTGGGTGGTGAGGACCAAGAGTGTATCAGTGCTTCCACACTCTCCAGTATGTTATTACCCCACTATTTTTGGTTCCAGCAGCTGTTTTGGGTATAAACGTTAACTTTGCTGTGGTGTGGGCTGGAGGAAATGATTAATCTCTTGCAGTCCTCAACTACCATAAATACCTTTTGATGTCATGAGATTTCTTTGCAGATCTCACGGGCTGTGCCTGACTATCTGGAGTGGCTGGGGGCAGTTGTCCCTCTGTAACTGTTGATAGGTTACGCAGCCAGTAAATTCCTGCTGCTTCCTTTAAAACTGACTGAAGCACACGTAGAGCTAGCCTGAGCCAGGCACAAAAATGTGGGCAAGGTTGCAAGCTGCTGCAATACAACTGCCATGCATCCAGTCCCTTATTGGCACAGATTGTGGCTCTAATGTGTGGTGCACTGTGGGGTGGTTATGATGTAGCTCAGCATCTACTGAGGCTTGGATTGCAGTGCTCTGTAAGTCCCAAAGAGAATGGATTTGAAGGGGAATGTCTTTCATTGGGGGAATGCTAATACCTTGATCCCCTTAGCTACCTCTCTTGTTCTCAGAGTCATCTCCACCTACCTTCACTTCTACCCTGCACTTGTGCTCCCTCTCCCAAATACGTACACGGGTCACGTTCCAGCCACATAGCAGCATCAGTGCATCTCAGCTAGTTCCCGCAGGGTGGTTGCAGACTCTAATGTTGATTGTCTGGCTGATTGCAGGTCGGTCTGGTTTACATGTTCAACCTTATCGTTGGGACGGGAGCCCTCACCATGCCCAAGGCCTTTGCGACTGCCGGCTGGCTCGTCAGCCTCATTCTCTTAATGTTCCTGGGCTTCATGAGGTAGGAGCTTGTTACATCTGTGCCTGTATGTAGTATGCACGGGGGTGGGGGTTGGCTTTATCTAAAAGATGCAGGCCAATGCTGTGGTCAGAAGTCCAGTCCCTCAGACACTCAGATGCCTACAGTTGCCTTGAACCCTGTTTAAAGACTCTGGTTTTCATAGCAAAGTCTGACTATCAGATGCCTTCAGTTTGGAGGTGCAGTTCCTCTCACTGTTGGAAGGGACAAGACTTCTCTGTCTGTCTCAGAGTCTCCTGGGTCCTGCACGACTGTTTTTGCTACACAACCTTTCCCCATCTGTTTCTTGGGGGGGGGCCCACTCCGCCATTGATTTATCCAGTGCCTATCTATAAGTAGTTTTCCCCAAGCACTAACAGCAACACCAAATTGGTGTGATTGTTGAAAAGTTCACCTCTGTTGTACTTCACGTAACAGCTGTGGAACTGACCAGGCACATCCGGTTTGCTTCGGCTCTTAGCAAAGCTTTGAGCAGCAACAGCGGGGGCACTGGGGCTGGGTCTTTCTGCAGACTCAGGAAGGTGGCTCTCTTATGATTCCCATTTGGAAGGACATCTTGACCTCATAAGAGTTGAACGCTTTCTTTTTGCCAGTTTGGGCACCTGTGCTCAGCAGGGAAGGTTTCCAGCTCGCTATGGACAAAGTTTTCAAGTCTTGCTCTGAGTTGGCAGACTTGGCCTCCTCTGGCTGAGTTGGTTATGGACCAGATTGTGATAACAAACAGTTGGTCAAACATTTGTGTGTGTGGACTGTAACCTTTTTAAGTATGCTGCAATGAGAAAAGGCCTCAAGGTATTCAAAGGATCAGCTGGGTCCTCTAAACCCATCTGTCCTGTGTTTGGTCTGAGATGCAAGCAGTGCCAGCAGATGCTTGGGGTATAGAGACAGAGGTCTGTACTGATTCAGCAGCTTGGAGCACCCACACCAATGGAAGAGGAGGTCGCTTGCCACAAAACTATTCCTACCTCATTCTCCCTGCCTCCCTTTGCAAGTTGTGAGGTTTGCTCTAAGCTGGTCCGAATTTTGGACTTTAGTTAGCATACCTCTGCACCAGGGGAGCAGAAGGCAGTTGGATACAATTAGTCTCATTAAAGCAGATGTTTTGGGCACTCCAACAGCACCTATTTCCGAAGAGATGTAAAGCTCTCTGTCTCTCCCTGCTCACTAAAGATCACCTTATTTTTGCAAGCGCAGGCAGTGCTCATCCTGGTGTCCTGGCCACATTCCATTTTGCATCCTAAATTCCTTCTACAGTGTAGGTCAGATCCAATATTTTTCTTAAATTGCTGGCCTG